TCAATGCAAACGAGAAGCGGAAACCTAGGTTCAAAGCCTGTGGCGGAACTCCTTTCAGGTCAGAAATGGCCCGCAGACGGCGATCTTCTGGCAAGACGGCGATGTCTGGCTGAAGAAGTGAGGCGCTCTTGAAGCCTTCCCGGCGCTTGGAGTTAGTGTCCTTGGGCCCTCGTCCTAGCAGCTCCTGTGATGTTGATGCATGCAATGTGGTCCTGGGTTCAATCGGGTGTAAACAACTCGGACTCAGAGCATGGTCTTCGTTGCCCAACGGCTTCGAGCGACCTTCACCAACTCCACTCGCGCATGAGATGTTTTGAAACTGCCACTCCTGCTGGCTGTGTTCTAGTCAGTGCTTCTCATTCCCTGACCTCTGCTGACAAAGGTTAGCGAGACAGCTTTCCCCATCAGACGATGGGCCTGTGCCAAGAAGCTTCGTGCCAAAAATGGCAACCGTGCATTGCAGCAGTCGTCATGCTTTTGCCGAGTTGCAGCCAGTTCCACAGACCTTTTGGCGACGGAGTGGCTTAGACTGCAGCCGTCCACGAACTTGCGAGTTGATGCTTTCGGAGGCCATTTGCTGCGAGGAGCTCTCCGACTGTCGTTGCAGTGAGGATAGAGGGAGTGGGGCAGTTTCCGCACCGATCGTGCAGTCATCACTGGGCTTGGCGAGAGACAGAGAGAAACCTGCACATGCACAAAATATGTGGGATGTACATATGTAAAATAATATATATATATATATATATATATATATATATATATGTATATACATACACATACACATGTATGCATGTATGTACTTATAAGTCATACATATGTATATGTCCATGTATATTGTCTATGTGTATGTGTATGCATACGTGCATATGCATGTGCATGTGCACGTATATGTATATGTACACGTATGTGTATATGTATGTGCATGTGTATGTGTATGTGTTTATGTATATATAATTAAGCAGGCTCGAAGCTTGTCGGTTTAGTGCTTCGCACCGTCTTTTGATATCAAGCTCTCCCTCCTATTCTGTTTAACGAAGGACCAGAATCGCTACAGACCTTGCCAGGCTTTGCCCGAGTGTGAGTGTCAAAAAACCCTGAAGCCCGTAGAGATTTTTTGGACTCTGCTCGGGGCGAAAACCGTCGGTTCATACGTACGTCTGCATGCATGTATGTACTCACGCCTGTGCGTACATGTCTGTATGTCTGCATGCATGTATATGCGTATGTCGGCAGCCACATGTACTTTTGAACCTGCAGAATGTGATTTGAGACGGCACGCCACGGCACCTTCGCGGTAGTTTGGATGGCGGCTCGCTCTTGTGTTCATGGCACCTCGAGACTGCTGCCATGGACGGCGAGTGGAGCAAACGTCTTGCCAGGGTCACCAGTGCAGCAACATTTGGCCAGCCACCGGAAATCTGAGATGACTTTGACGACTGCCTCTCGTGTTAGTTGGCTCTAAGTTATGCATATAGCATTTTTGTAGGGTGCGGTCCAGCGATGGCTACAGATTGCGAGCGGCCGCCTGACTGGGCACTCCCCTTACACAGGGCTCAAGGGGGAGACAGCAAATAGCACCCCAGGCATTGGAGGCGGTCAGGCGTTCGAAGGCAGGTTTCCCACCCCACGCAGCAAGCACATTCATAAACAGGCTGCCGCCAGTTGCTTGGACAACTTGCGCCAGTATCGAGACATCACCAGCCGAGAGGCTCGCAGTTGCTTGCCTGACGTTTGAACTCTGGAGTTTTCGCATGTATGAGTTATATTCTGATTAGTGCTGCCATCAACCGAGCAGCTGGGTCAGGTGGAGCGGGTCAGGCGAAACCTGAACGGGCTGTCGGACGATGACAAAGCTTCACTGGTCAGGCGCAGCACGATGGCTTCATATTCGGGGATTAAGGGCCACTTTGAACCGAGTTGTCTGCAGTGCGGCGCAGGCTTTTGTGAGATGTGGTGATGGATCAGTCTTTGTGTATAGCGTGCTACTCCGGTAGGAGCAAGGCATCCTGCGGAACGACACCTGCAATATAGCTTTAAGCACAAAAAAGAACGAGAGCAACAGCCGGCTCCCAAGCGGAACATGGCATCAACCTTTCGATAAACGCAAGTTTAGACTTTGGTTTGGCTTCGCAATAAGTATGGCCAGGACATGCTCCCTGAAGTATCTGGACTACACGTCCCGCCCTAACCTCTTTCCGTATTTAGTGCTTGCGGACCGTGGTCCTCACCCAGTGACCGTGCCCACCTTGCCAGGAAGCCGGAGGAGCAGGTGAAAGCGATGGAAGAGGCACCGCAAGCGCATCGCAACAATCGCTGTCATACCAAGGCGACGTTGATGTTCTGCCTGGAGCCTGATGATGTTGCAGGCATACCATGAATTAACTTGGAATGTCGACCGCAGGTAGCTGCCTTTGTTTCAGTTCAAGCTCTCACATAACGAAGTTCGGAATATTTCCAGGGGCACGTTGAGCCGCACAAATCGTTGATCCGATGGTCTGCGACATTCTCCGAACCGAAGCCTCAAACGCTCAGATCCCGAAACGCCCTCTCGCTGCCATGATGCTGTGGCGGCGGATGGGTGAGCAATGGACGAAGTGGGACCGGATTATTCCAAGTCGGGCTGCTACGAGTGGTGTGCGTCTCAGTGAGTGGGTCTGGGATGGTCTGGGGTCCTCTTTACCAATAAGCCTACTCGGAATGGAATCACTGAATAGTTGCAACCCTGAAGGTTGAACACTCCCGGAGATAAAGCCTGTGTCGACAGTCTTGCTGTCGTCCTCTTGGAGACCCGCCAAACAGCTGTAAAGTTTGCGGTTATTGTTTTGGGCGAAGATTCCGAACATCCTGGTCAAGCATTCTTCGCAGAATTGAGGACCCCCGGAACAGTGTCCGTTCCAAGCAATGTCCGAGACCGGCAAGCTATTCGTTTTCGCATAAAGCAGGTGCAGCACTGCCGACTTGAGCTAGCACTCCCTGGCGCAACTGATCGGAACGAGATACTTTGGTGCTCAGGCTTCTGCCGTTTGCAGACCTCCAGCCTGTCTTTGAGAAGTTGGAGCTGGAGAGCCTTGGCGAAACTTCCATATAATTTTCCCGAAGGATCCGCGAACACACAGCATGGCACCCTCTGGTAGGCTGAACCGTTCGGAGTTTTGAGGCGAGGCTTGGAGAGCTCAGTTGTCGTGGTCGGCTGCGGCACGCTTGGGAGCTCAGAACTTGGATGCGTTGTCGAGGGGGGGGCAATGGAAGAGTCAACAGAGTCTCGGCTTTGTAAGGTCGGACCTCTCCAAAGACCTCCATCTCGCACTGGGCTTCCACCAAGCCTGAATCTCAAACAGCAGGGAGGGAGTCATTGGGGTTGGGATTCCGGTCGGAGGCGAAGGTGTCGAGAAGTGATGTACTGAATACACGAAGGGAAGCCATAGCATAGACTGAGGGATGCAGACTGTAGATGGTCTACACTCTGTTGCCGGGGAAACATTCAGTCTTCTTCCAAGGTGCTGTCAATAGACAACGACGAGGCGGTCATCCGTCACATGAAGGCCAAGCACTAAAGCCTCAAGCTCTTTGAACAACAGAAGACTCGTGCCAGGGAGACCTGCGTCGCTTGTCAAAACATGTATCTCGTAAACCCTTTTCGGGCCATGGCAGATGTGAAGCCGGCAATTTGAGAAGCTGGGTCATGCTGTAACTTTCTGGGGTCTTGACTACAGCAAACCTCGCAATTTGGGCGTCTCGAACGAACTCCGTGTTCATACTGGGATGTTCGACTGTGGCCGATTCTCCGTGGAGACAGTATGGCACAAGTTGAAGTCGCAGTGTCTGCCTCGACATGTTCCAATCCAGCTTCGTACCTATGCACCCTCGCATGAATCGAGGTCCGAGTCCTCTAATAGAGTTTTCAGCTGACCATCTCAACAGTTGGCGCTGCCTGCGCAACGTGCAGGCGCGGCATCGCGACCTCAAGGGCCTCACGTTTGCTTTGGGGGACCTCACCGTGTACAGCGAGGTGGTCTATCGAGTTGAGCATGACAGAGTCACGGAGGTCATTTGCTCATGTAAACACGGTTCGCATTAGGTTATTAGGGTCGTTTGGGGCGGGTGAGCAGAATGACGCTGAAAGCGCCGTCTCATGGAATAGTCTCGGGGTAGTGGGCTCACAGAGATCTGCGCCTTCAAAAGCTGTACCTTCTCTTAACCTCATGTGACAGCGCCCTCGAGTGGAAGCCCGTGTTCGGGTATCCTTCAGATGTTTGGCCTAGGGTGCCAACCATCAGACTTCGCAGATCTTAAGGTGGTGGTAGACGGGAACGCCGACCTCGTGGTGGACAAGAGCACGCTGGACTGCTCCTTGACCCATTCAGCACTCCATTAGGCCTCCCTGTAGGGCCAGGGTGCAGGATTCATAGGATTCATCATGGGGCAGGCTATGCGGGCTCGTCCTAGCGAAGTAGCAGGCGAGATCATGGGGCATTGGAGACTGCGTGACAGACTCAGTCGGGCTCGAAGTTTGGCGCGCAATGCAGATGACAACGCAAATTTCAGTGCTGGGAGGAGTACGACATTGCCCGTAACTGTAATACGTCCTAGTCCTAGGATTCAGATGACCACTGTTTTTGGTGGTCCCAACTCCTTGCGCCGAACACCGCGTTTGTCCACAGTTCAGGTCTACTTTGCAGCGATGCTGCCGCTGGGCTGATCTGCCGCTGGGCCGAAGATTTCACTTCAAGAGTGATCCAACTCGCAGGCTTGCAGCTACTTCGACGTAGCGGCGTGTTTTAGATGTTTGGTTTGTTGCTGCCATGTGATTAAGCACCGCAGATGACCACTACTTCAGAGACTTAAGTTGCCCCAATCGCAGGCTTCAAGCACAAAGAGTCATGCGTGGGCTCCTCGTGGTCGGGTGAGCCTGTCCCTGGCGTCATCCGTCGGTCTTGTGCGCACATACACGCACACTGGCACCTTTCAAGTTTAGTGACTCTGGCGGTGGCCGAAGACTAAGCATCAAAGTTCAAGACGACTCGAGTTGCCTGCATCTTGACCGTAAGGTTGCGTCTATCGCATGCTGCGCGCAGGAGGCTTTTATGTCGTCATCTCCTTCCATGACACGGAGCCGTGACTAGAATCAGAGGAGCATGCAGGTAACTCAAGTATTCCGGACGCAGGGAAACATTACTGTTGGTACAGATCCTGGGTGATTCAGAATGCCGTGAACGGAGGATTGCCCCTCTGAAAATGTGAGGACTTCTTGGTGTCCCTGCTGTCCATGGCCTTCGACTTGATAGGCCTCGTCGATCTGCAACGACGAGTGGGACACTGGGACCGCAGCTTCGAGCTGCGAAGCCTTGCGGGTTCTTGCATGTTCCGCAAGGACCCCCGGTTCGTGCACTAACGCTGCGCAAGAAAGAAATCGAGGGCCTGGACGAGGCCTTGGTGCACGCTTCTTGTTACTGAGAAATCTGCGTAAGCACGACGAGGAAGAATCAGGAGCAACCAGGGAGAGAGAGACAGAGAGCTTACAACTCCTGCTTGCGTCTCACACATTAAATCCCGAAGAGAGCCGCCCTCGGGAGAGAGAGAAAGAGAACCCAGTGCGCACTTGCGCGCGGGGAGGTGGCTGTCGCTACTTCCCTAGAAGTGGAAGGAGAGTAACTTCACATGTAATGGCCCATTGCCCCTGTGGACACAACCCGGCAATGATCGGGGACGAGCAGTGCCCTCCACTTGAAGCTCCGACCCGAGCAAGTCTTGGCTGGACTGCGACGGCTCTTCAGTTCAGTTGGGTGCGAGGGGTTGTGAGTTGTCGGGGACCTCCTTGCTTCACGCAGACCGGGCTCGGACTTCAGGCGTAGCGCATGTGCGCAAGCGGGATGAGTTGCGCGTCCTCCATGCCACACCCTTCCCAAGCAACCAAGCAAGCAAGCGAGCTCGAGGCCAAGTAGGATTGGTGCAGAGTGTGCTGCGCTCTACTCTTCTTCAACTTCTCTTGCCTGTGCTTCCCGTTGCTGTGCAGCAGAAGACTGCCAGATACGCGAAGTGTATCTAGTTTGTGGGACAGCAGTGAGATAGAGATATAGATATGGGGATGGAGATAGAGTGAGCCCAAGAGTAGCAATGGCAACTAACAGCAGCAATGACAACATAGACAGCGAGGGAGAGACGAAGACTTGGCGGGAAAAGGGAAAGCATAGACATCACCCGCCAAACTCCAACAAATCAGTCGAGATACCGAGCAGTCGCACCAGGTGTCGCCTCGCAGAGCCGTGCAGCAGCTGCGAGAGCAGCTGCGCGCTTTCGAGGTGGGAGGGACGGGGGGCCCGGTGTCCACAGCCTTTTTGCTCCCTTTAAAAGGCCCCCCCATGGGATGCTCTGTTTCGTACTCTGCAAATCGGCCCGGCGGGGGCGGGGAGCGGTTGGTGCGGTTGGCGGCCGGGCTGTTGCTCCGCCGAGGCCGGGCGGCTGGAAGCCGCTCCGCTGCTCAGCTCGGAGCGGAAGCAGGCTCTGGAGGCTCCAAAAAACGGGCCTTGCCCAACGGGGGAAGTCGTCCTCTGAGTTCTGAGGCTCTCGTGGTTTCTTTCGGTTTTTTTGTGGCCCTCGCGCGAGATCTTGGTCGGCTGCGGTGCCCTTCAGCCCGAACCATTTCCGCACCGCACACCCTAAGACCCTTACAACCCCTGAGTTCACTGCTTGCGCTGTCGCGGATCACGGGATCACCATGGCGCGACAGGCCGCATGGCCTCATGACGAGACAGATGCAAAGACCTTCCCGAAGCTCGGTAAAGATTTGTCGCCTCATGCTTTCCACGGTAACTACAAAGCAGTGCGAAAACAGATGCGTGCTGATCTCAGCTTGAGGATTCCTCTCTCAGTTGACGAGGCCAGCACCGAACACTCCGAAGCGTGTTCGAGAGAGTTCACAAGTGGGCTATCCCTTATCCGACCCTGGCGTTGGCAACAGCTAATTCAAGTCACAGCCTCACAGCTTCAGTGCTTTCAGTGAAAGGGTCCGACATGCGAGCAGTCTAAACTTGCACTGAGTCGGCACTGTTAATGCCGAGATCTTCAGTTGATGGACATCCCAGGCATACGGCCTCCTTTTCACGGATGCAGATCCTCGGTTGCAGGGGTTGCGCTCGTCGCATGGAAGCGCTGCAGAACTCGAACTTCGCAAAGTGAAGAAAGAGGCCTGTTTCTCATCGATTCTGGCTCGTCTTCACTGCTGGTGCAGTTTTGCGAAAGCAGCTTGGCTTGGAATCGCCGAGGAGAAGCGCGAGTACGCGAAGGCCGACTTCCAAAGTGTCCCCGGTTTGCAGAAGTGCTGGGACCGCTTGGGCACTTTGATTCCAAACTCGCAAGCTCGGACTGGGCAAGACCATGATCATGTCCTGCTACCTGCACATCAGCAGTCACCCAAACTTCTGCCTGGTGAGCCCAGGACCTGTCGGATTTCCGGACGACGTCTGAAGCTGATGCACCCTTAGGACTGGAAGAAGCCTTCGAGTTTCTCCAGAAAATGCAGTGAGCCACTGCCAACATGTCTTTGACGTGAGGGGAAGCTTGACTGCCGAAACCTGCGAAAGACTCAAAAGACACTGTCGTATGCACGAGTGTTGACTGCCTCGTCTGCTTTGCCCACATCAGTCCCTGCCACGGTTCAGCTGGTGCTCTCCGTTCCTACACCCAAAGCTCCAAACCTGCCACAGGCTGTGGCGGCCACGCTCCAGCTCGTGGAAAAGCTTGAGACGCTGCTCCGAAAGGCCCGGCGGAGTCAACGTCGGGTTTGGTTTACGTACCCCGAAGTTGATCAGGACCATGACCAGGACAGAGCCCTTCAGGGCTTCCAGGGACTGCTCCTAGCAGCAGAATCCGCAGCTGTACTGAGTGGGCCCCATCAGGAGTCGCAGACGGCTGAGAAGGGTGCCAGGCCCGGTGGAGATGATTCGCGATGCTGAAGCATGCTTAAGTCACATCTTCAGTTGCATGAAGCGCTACCCTTGTCGACCAGCGTGGACCCACCCAGAGAGACGCTAAGCAGACTGTCGCGCCAGGGGCTCTGGCGTCAACATCCCTGTGGGTACCAAGCCAGCGGGGTGCCCATGCTGCGGGCTGTTCATTGCAGTGCTGCAAGCGGCTCGCTTGGAGGTTGCTTGCTGACTCGCTGACATCCGTCTCCGTTGCTGTAGCTGATTGTAGCGGTTGGCACGGAAGTCCGTGCCTTCTCAAACCAACCGCGCATGTGCCTTGTGTGGACTTTTTCTCGCATTCTTGCGACTAGCGGGACTAGCGTACTATGAAACTTGGGCTTGGAGTTGGAAGGAAGTCGGGTCGATCAGCACACCAGAACGTGACTGAAGTGCATGAGTATGGAGTCTTGCGTGAATACGAGTTTCCGCCGCAATTGTCTTTTTGGGAACCGCGGTGACCCTTCCATTCGTAAGGTGCAGACCTTGCTCCAAACCCTCGTGTCGGGGCCTGTGCACTTTCTCTGTGTTTTCCTCGGTGTGCCTGGACGGACCATGAACGACCACGAGAAACAGAAGACTTAGTTTGCTCCAGGATTGGTTTTCAGTCGATTGGACGAGTGCTCAAGCCTACTTCGACCTATCTGTAGAAACTACGAGAGTGACTACGACACACAGCCCCGCATGCTGAAGGCGTGAGTGGGCGGCAGAAGGCCTGCAGGAGTCACCTGCAAGCAGCGGCTGCAAGCTTCGCAGTTCTCATTCGAGTGTGGCTGAAAAAAACTCGAGCGGGCCGGGTCGTTGGGGTGCTGGGTGGGACCCATCAGGCTCTAGGCTGATTGAAGTGTCCAGGTTGATGTGTTCTGCACAGCCTCCAGCCAGCTGAAGCTCAGATTGGGAACCATGTTGCCGCAGGAGCGAAAGGCGTGCTTCGACAAGCTGCTAGGACCGATGACATGCAGTTCACGGGCAGTGCATCCTTCTCAAGTTGTTCATCCTGATAGTGAGATGTTGCCGATCCTCCCTACCACTGGGTTCGTACCGGGCTTTGGGTGCAGGGCGTGCAGGTTTGGACGCTGTGGCAGAGGGTAGGGCAGATGCTCTCTCTCTGGCATAAGGAAGCATGTAGCTGGACTGGCAGTGTGATGTTTGTATGCCCATAGACAAGCAACGGGCCAAACAAGACCATGCTGGTCAGGTTCTCCAGCAAGGAAAGATCGTGTGCCCGTTTGTCTAGCAATGAGGTGGTCATTTCTAGGTGGAGCTTCTTAACAGTTGGCATGATGAAAGCGAGCAGGAGCTCTCGACAGCCACCTGACAAAGGTGCACTCCACTAGCAGGGTTCGCTGAAGTGTCCGTCTGCACAAGAAATGCATCCGACATCCAGCTTGTGGCTTTTCATAAGCTTGCCGGGCCCCTTGCTGCCAAGATCTGGTTGCTTCAATAGCATCTGGCCAGGCAGGTCGCGTGCTGGTCCCGGCATGCTCCCTAGGCGCCGCCACCGGGTTGAACTGGGACAACTCCAGCCCGCCCGAATCACGATACTGAAGATGACGCGGTTTTGACTGCTTCTTTGTTCATTTGTTTGTTTGGTTGTTTGTGCAGTGGTTTGTTGGTTTGAGCGCGTGCATGCGTGGTGCGCGCATATGTGTATGTATGTATGTATGTACGTATGTATGTGTGCGTGTGTGTGTGTGTGTGTACACCTCGATACTAAGCTAGAGGTTCTTGGATTTCTTGGCAGGGGGTGGCAGCAGGGTCCAGAGTCTGCCACCAAGAAGACACTCTGGATACCCTGGTGAAGCACGGTCTGATCAACCGTGCTGTGCACTGTTTTCATCTTTTCAGAAACTTCTGGATGGCACAGGGCTCTGCCTGGAACCCTTCTGATGATTTCAGCGTGTGCGCATCAGTGACATATTAGCATCCCAGGACACACAGGATACTTAGGAAATTTCGTCATCTTCCAGATCGTCAAAAGAAGTGGCGGAAGCCGTTATACGAATCATTTCCCATTCTCCGTGTGTGTGGGTGCGTGGTGGTGGGTCGGTGGGAGAATGGGTGGGGAGAGGCAGCTGAAGCCACTTGCGTAATCCCACATGTTATCGCACGTTTTTATTTCAGTATTCCCAGCACTGGAGAAGACAATTCAGCTGCAGGTCGCTTGGCCTTCGAGGCACCTTTGCGGGTTGTGTGCAGTTCTGCGAAAGGAAAGCATCCTCAAGCTGTCCCCAGAGCTTGCACTGTGTTTGGAGTGAGAGTTTCAACCCGGAGCCCCAAGTCCCAAACTCTGTAGCCAAGTTCGAAGCCTGGCCGAGCTCAGAGGTCTCGTGCAGGGGGCACAGTGTGGAGGCCTGCGAGAGCACGGGAGCCCAGCAAGGAGTGAGGTTCATCGCGCATATTGTCATCCTGAAGCACTTCTGCTGGGTTTGAGGGTTGCGCAGGCCGGGGTGACGGTCGCAGGGCCCAGGACTTTGCGAAACTCTAGGAGGAGGTAGGAGGAGTTACGGGCAGGTGTGTCAGTCAGGGTCGACCGAGCACGTGTTTTTTTCCTTTTTCTGGAGCTCCGAATTGTCAGCTCGAAAAAGGCTTCAGAGTCCGGGCATGATTTCGTCCCATCGCTTTTGTGTTCCTGACTTAGGCCGGCTGTTGCAGTGGTTCGGCATGGAGCTGCTACGGCAAAACGGTCAGGCGGAGGCCAACTCATGTGCCGTTGTGTTGCGCGCGAGATTCCGAATCCGTTGCATAACAAGAACATTGCCCCGAGTCCTAGATTCTACGTCTGTGTAGTTGTATTGCATGCAGTCCTTCTTCATGTTGTTGCCTCCTGCATGTTTCGACTATGCCCATGGTCCTTCGCCAGCACGCGTATCACCTGAATCACAATGTCACAATGTGAGGACAGGATTGTGCAGCTGCTGCGCTGCATTTGGTGATGCGACTGCTTGGTTTGATGCATGTACTTAGCCAGAGGCGACCCAAGCCTCGAACCAACAGGGACATCATTGAATCACGCCATGGTTGGCATCGTGAATAAACTCCCCAAACCGCCGACATCATAGGGCCCCACTTGCACTCGAAGACCTTCTACTAAGACCTGGCCACGATGCGGCACCAATCGGAAGCCCTCCGCAGGTGCTGCGACCACAGCCGTTTGCTCTCAACACCTGCAATCGGACGGGTGCCCAGAAAGTTTTCTCCCGATCCGTACTGCCTTCAGGTTCGCATAGGATGTCAGGCCTTGATGTAGCTCTGCCACAGCGTGTGGACTTGTTGCTGTCCGTCGAAAACATCCCATTTCAGATCGTAGGTGCCAGTCATTCGCCCGGTCACTCATGTGCTTCTTTTCGTCGCTCCCCTTGTGATGGTTTTGTGGTCTCGGGTGTTTTCGCTGTCATGGTGATGTTCTAGCAGCGTGCTCGGGCGCCCGATGCGATGTACCGTGACGACAGATGGCTCTATGAAGCGATCTCAGCAGGCACCCCATAGTATCCCGACTGAAGCAGCGACGCCTTTTTAATCGGAGTGCCGTAGCCCTCACAAGTCACAACTGATTCTTCGAGTTTGGGATCTTGGGATGCACGGGGACTATCCAAGGGTCTGGGCCACTCGCCACCGAGGCTGAAGTTTTCCGACAATCACAGAGTAACGGCCATGCCGGATGTGACGATCGAGGAGAGACGGGAGAGAGATGTTTGAGGGGAGTGGTCAAGAGCTGGCAGCCTTGGGATTCGTGACTCGGTTATCTACACCGCCTGAGCTTCCGAATGCAAGGCCAGCGCCTTCCCAAACCAAGTCTGACTGCACCCTGTATTTTGGTTATGATACCATGCTTCAGCCACCGTGTTTGTTTGGATTTGCTGCCGGCGGATGCCATGCCTCCGGAAGCTGACCGGCACCGTTGTTTTCGGGCACACTTGCTAGTGTCCGTCCACGGTGCCATCGCAGTGCAGCGAGCTGTCCAGTCCAGGAAGGGCGACTACCTCGACAGCATTTTGGCGAGTTCATCACTCTCTACGACAGGTCCACGACAACTGAGTCATAAGTTACTGGCGCGAACCTGAAAGGGATCATATTTCGAAACGCGTTTGTCAGGTCGGATGCCAAAGAAAGCAGGGAGCCCTGGTTGGGGGATCCGGTCTGTGCGGGCACCCTCAGAAGCGGTCATCCGCGGCCATCTGTGCGGGCCGGAGGGGAAGTTCTGGGGGTTATTGCAGCAGATGCCTTTAACACTAGCATGTGGCAGCTTGTCGGGAAGCTCTACTTTGCTGAGGCTTCGACTGCCTCCTGACCTCTTATGCGCTGGACCTGTGTCCAAACGTGTTCCGTGCCTGCCCCAGAGCCTTTGAAACTGCACAGGGCTGAAGCATGTTGCGTCGGGTCTGGCACACGGGCTTTCTTTCCCCAGCCATGCGCCACTACCTGTTCTTGTGTGATCGCCAGGTTTTGTGCGCACAGCAGCTCATGTGGTCAGACCTGGTGGTGTGCACTGTGCTCAGACCCTGAAAGCGACTCTCTTATGGTGCAAGGCAGCCCCTTGGTTTCGGCCCGTGTTGAATTTTTTTCGGCTCGAAGGCGTTTTCGTCGCTCTCCAGTCCGACGTGTCGCGCGTATGGCGAGAGCAGGGCTCCTGGTGAAGCTTCTCGGGGATGTGCTGGGCAATGCCTTAACCGGCCACTACGAAAAAGGAAAGCCCACCAGCGAGGCACGAACCGCAGAGCGGAAGAAGAATTGTTTGGAGTGCATCACGAAACTGCTTGAAGCAGTGGTGGGTCCTGGCGACCTGTTGTCCTCCGACGTGAGAGCCGAGTTTGCTGCCGAAGCCTATGCAGCCTGGGGCTCTTGCAAGGCGTGCATCGCCGCTAAGCAGGCCAAGTTGCCACAGAAAGGCACCGATTTTGCGAAGTACAACGAGAACGAGATCGAGCACGACTTCACGACCTCGGGCCCTTTCCGAGCCTTTGCACATGCAATCGTGAATCGTCAGCAGAAGCTTGATGAGGGTTTCTTTCAGGCTTTCGTGGAGCGCTTGAAGCAATTTGTGGGTGACCCGAAGCTGGGAGATGACGACTTCCAGGCCATGGCTATTGAGCTCAACACCATCGCAGCCCTCTGTGCCGGAGTTCGCGCTTTCTGCGCCGCCACCGGCTACGAGGCACCCCCTCTTCCGGCAAAGCCAAACCCTTGCAAGCCTGGCCGCTTCCTGCGGGTCTCGGACTATTCGACAGGCCCCTTGCAAACTAACAGGGTCATTGCTTGGGTGCCGACCCTTCCGGCATCACAGCTTCGCAAGGATGTGCCCGAGCGCTTCGGCATCGATGCATCCATGTGGGCTTTTGCAGGGGCGAACCCGCACGGCCCGACCTCAAAAGCCAGTGCCGCACCCCTAACATGTTGGGAGTTCCTCAAAATCATGGATGTAATGTATGTGCCCTTCCAGGATGCCCCGCGATTCCTCAAGGTACCAGGCAAGGATCGCACGCTGAATCGCGGCCAGTTGGAGGTTGCAGCTGCTGACTACACCTCTGGGAAGGCCTGCAACTTCTGATCCAAAGCTCACGCCAGCATGGCTGATGTATCTGAAACTGCACTTCTGGGCGGCCATCACCCGCTGCACAACGAAATTTCGGCCTTGGCCACGGCGGTCGCATCCCCAGAAGACATGGAGAGGATTCGCACAGCGCGGGAAGCGCTGCTGGCCGAGAGCAACGAGCATGCTCTCCTTGACACGGCCGGCATCATTGCGTTCTTTGCGACGATTACGATCGTCGTGGACTTTGCGGGGCACTTCTCGCCACATCTGGTGAATGTGCTCAACAAGATGGCAAAGGTGATCTCTAGCGCACGTGTCGCACGCATGACAGTCCGGCGGCTGTTGTGCTGTGGCAGCACGTAGTCAGTCTAGCACATCACGAGCCTCTTGCTAGATGCGAATTTGACAGCATGCCATGGATCCCGAACATGCGAAAATTCCTTGCCTCAGACCCACGAGTGACGTGGTATGCTGTGTGTTTTGCAGCGCACTACTGACAGACGGGGTCTGCCGGCCTGGAACTGCTAGAGTGAAGCTCCAAAAATTCACAGGATTCGGAAGACATTTTACAGTCTATGAGTGCACCAAGTGTCTGGTTGTGTGAGTGGCTATCATCGCTGTTGACTTTTCATGGCAGCTGTTGCTCGTGTCGGCAGGAGAACCAACTCCACCGCCAACCTAAAACAGTAGAATGAGAAGCCTTGCCAAGACAAGGGCTTGCCCCCGATACGAGGTGGGCAGTCCATACATGGAAGGCAGCTGCATGTAAGCTCAGAATCACTTTTAATGCACTCTGGCTCTCCGGCAGTTTTGTGCCGGCGCGCGACCGAGGCTTGCCCCCGAAAGGAGGCGGGCATGTCTACCGTCCGTGGAAGGCTCGAGCATGATTCTGCTAAGGAGTTGCGATGATACTTGTTGGCGCGTCAGTGACAAAACGAAAAGACATGAATAGCAATGCTTGTACCGAAGCACTCCTTCGCAGCCCGTGTTCGCTGTACAGATGATCCTTTATGAAGATCTAGTCAGTCGGAGGGCAAAGATTGCAGCCAGAAAAACATGCGCCTGGCCGCCATTTGTTGCCTGTGCTGTACGTACTTATGCCTTGGGAAAGCACCGTCAGACCGAGCAGAGTGAACAGCCCTCAGGTGGGCGAATTTCGGCCCTTTGGCTTATGACACCGACCACGACGAGGTGTGGAACTGGGTTTCTCCTGCCTTAGCAGGACCTGCAGCCTGCAGACCAGAAGAGTTGAACGCAATGAGTTAGTTTTCCACATGGGCTTCTTGGAGCTTCTTGAGGTTCAGAAGAGAGGCTAGCGAACCGTTCAGAGGTGGCAAAGCACATTTCTCACGCTACTCATGCGCTTGGTCGCTTGACGGTAGTGTTGGATGTTTAAGGCAAATGCCTGAGTCATGTGCATTTAGCATGGACTGGACTGCAGCCAGTTCTCAAGTCAGCCACTATGCACAACTCCTTGCGTGCCGATGCCTCGCAACACGAGTTAGCAGATAGAAGTCGGTGTCTTGCCTCGGTGCGGCACAGAGGTGGCACTTCGACCTGTTTCTTTTGCGGCTGCACCGCCTGTAGTCACACATGCAAACGCGGAATCCGTGATATAGCTGTATAGCTGATAAATTCAGGCAAGAGGCGGCGGATCGGAAGCCCGTTTGCAGAGCTGTGAGCCATGCCGCGAGCTCCCGACTACTATGCTGTGCTTGGGCTTGCCAAAACCGCTACAAGCGATGAGATCCGGCGAGCCTACAGCCGCTCGTTCTCGTGACACACGTGACACACCTTTGAATAAAGCCGTGGGTTGCCAGTTGATCTACTCCTTGATTTCATAGTGGGCCAAAGCAGCTGTGCAAGTCTGAGGGCCGTAGGGAACTGCATTTTAATTTTAACGCTACGCCGCCCGCCTCGGCTGTGTAGCGGCAGGGCGAGGGGGCAGTCGATGTTTTTTTATGCTAGGGCGGCCTGTCAAACCCCAACCTTTGCACGGTTGTTGATACGAAGTGCGAGGAGAATGGGTAGGGGGGGGGGGGGGGGGGGGGGGGGGGGGGAGGGGGGGGGGAGGCCGACAAATCAGGTAAAAAGAGGGGAAGCCGGGCAAGGGGGTGGCAAACGAACGCAAAAAACGGGTGTCCCCAAACATTTGGATCGCAGGGAGGAGGATAGCCCCCAAGACGCCTGGGCCTGTGGCCTCGGCGGATTAACTAAGAACAGCAAGCGCTTCGGCACCACCCGGACAAGAACCCGGACAACGTGGCCGAAGCTACTGCCAAGTTCAAGCTCGCCGCGTGGCCGATTGCAATTCGGTACAGTTGAATGTCATGTCCTCCTGCACGTTGTTCGGGCTTGTTTCTATGTGTTGATGCGGCATTTTGGTGGGCCTACTTGGCAGCATTTTTGGTGATTGTCGTGCTGCAAGTTTACGGGATCACACAGAATCCTTGCTTCCGGTGGTGGAGGCGACTTTTGTTTGTTACAAGTCTGGCGCCCCCGCAAAGGTTTCGGAAGCCTACTCCGTGCTGTGCCGCGGCTGAGGCATGTGCAAAAGGACGAGAGGGTGGCATGCAGGTTTGAGGATGTCTGAGGCATGACTCTTTGGAAGTTTGTTGAGTTGATGCATCGCAAGCAAGGCATAGAACGGCCATGTCAAGTCACTGTCACTAGCTGTCTCAGTCCAGGACGGATTGCTGAAAAGTATTCCTGCAGCCCAGGAACGACCCCGCAAAGCGGGCGGCATATGATGGAGGTAGCCTCTCAGGTGGGGTCTGCCCCCCTGTGGGTAGTTGACTAAACTCAAGCAGAGTTCAAAGTGTCAAGCTTCGTACACAGCCGGGTGGGCGAGCGTCGGCACGCAACCAACTTTCGTGTCTCGTGAACTTGTTCTGCTCTTTGTCAGGCATAGTCGGCCCTGAGTCTTGCCTACCGGGTGTGCCCCACCCTTTCAATATGTTTCAACCCAAGGTTTCATCGTGCGCCGACATAGGATCATACAGCATGGTGGCCCTTCTTGTGGGTTGCTTGAGGCGATAGTGGGGCTGAGCCGGCCTTTACAATGTCCATGGCCCAGAACCTCTTCAAAGATGTCTTCGGCGGCTGGTCGGCATCCATCCCTTGGCTTGTGCGGAGGTGTTGGTAATGTGAACCTACGCCTGAGCGTTCTGAGATCTGGCTTCTGAGACTGGGGCTGTTTGGATGCTTGGAGTGTCGGGGTTTCGAAGCCCTTGAAAGACCGAGTGCGCGACCCGAAGGTGAGGACTTCGCAAACCGGCTTGCCGCTGCTGCTGGCGATGCGAGCATCCCGCCTGGTTCTGGCTGTTGGCGGGCTCTAGGTTTGCATTCCACACAGTCATCATTTCGGCATGGGCTTTTTGTGAATACTGGTTCGGGTAGGGCCGATCCCAGACCTGTGTCTTGGGATGCGACCGAAGGCGGAAAAGGTTAAAGTTAAATTATGTCAGTCTGCGGCTCTTGGTGGAGCTGAATGATTTCCGTCAGGCTGCAGGAAGAAGCAAGTTCTTGCAACCTGCACGTGCTAGGTTCCGCTGTCGCGGACACCATAGACCGCGTCGCAGAAAGCGAGCTCCTTGGCGCCGAGCTTGTGTGGGATCTCTTCTTCTTCTTCTTCTTCTTCTCTGAGTTGCTGGCCAAATGAGCGGATACGTGGATACCTTCGGCCGCTGCTAATGTTACGGATGATACTCTTCCGGACTGAAGTTGCAGTGTGCTTTGTAACACCGGGCAGGAACTAGCAAAGTTATGCTCGCGCTGTGTTTCGCGATCATGTTTGTTTTTGCAGCTGCCGTTTCGTGAATGTCAAAAGGAGCTTCTGAACTCAAGCCTCTTCCCAGGACCTTCAAAAAGGCCAGAAGCGCCACCGCCCTTGGATTCCACAAGGCCCGGGGCCTCGGCGGCCTCGGCGGCCCCGCGGCCTCTCGGAGCCGCTTCTCTGTTCTGCTCTTCTGCGCAGGTCGGGGAGACGGTGGGCTCCGCACCGGTGGTCTGGGCCTCGTTGCTTTCAGGACATAGGAGAGAGGGGGGGATGGTGTTTACATATGAGAGTTTCCCGAAAATAGGGGACCCCAATATAGCATCCTAAATAGTAGGATCCTAGTTAGAAGGACCCCAAAATAAATAAGGTACCCCTAATTTCGGAAGCTCCCATATGCCTGCGAGGTCCGCAATGCTGTAGCAGCCCACCTTGGTTCGGTCACAGATCACGCGAACTCCCAGGTTGCGGACAAGGAGAGCGGCTGGGCAACAACGCATTTCGGGAATGAGCGAATCGGGTGGCAGTGTCAGTGTCTGTGGATTCTTGTCCGGAAGGATTTCCCCACAACTCATATAGCACTGGTCTCATTCCCGAAAGATTTCCCCACAACTCATAACACATGCCTAGCAGTTCTATATGGTGTGTCCTGGTGTCCAGAGACGGTTCGGCACCTCGATAAGTAGCCACTTCCTCGCCAGGAGCGCAGCGAAGCGCTGAGCCGCAAAGCTCTTGAGCACTGCCGGGCCAGGCAGGGCGGAATTGCCTGAAACGGAGAAAAACGGAGAAGGGAGTTCTGAATGCATGGAGAGGTTCCAGCATGCTCCGGCAGCAGCGTACCGACGGTCTGCGTCAAAGACTTTGAAATTGAAGACGACGAGGAGGGTCTGACTGAAACTTACAACGATAAGTACCCTAAGTAGACGTGACCTGAGCGTCGAAGTAGACGTGATCTGGCCATCCGGCCGGATGGCCCGATGATACTGATCTTTTCGGCTTGACAGAAACTGAACCGACGCTTAGGTTGGCTGGTTGCAGCTCCGGTTGGCTGGGTTAGAAAGACAGGCCCCTGTCCTGTCTGAGGCTTCCCCTTCGTCTTCTAAAGCCTCCTGAGTTGCCATCACAGGCTCGAGGAGCACAAGGAGGCAGTGACGAGAACTCAAGGTGCCAGAGAGGGCCGCCAGATGAACCTCGACTAAATATTTCGGGTGCCTTGCAGGGATCCGATCAATCAGGTCCAAAGGCCTTCTAGAGAGATGCCACAATCTCAGGAACTGGTGGGATAACATGTGGGAGCTGCTGGGTTGCAAGCAGCCCTTGCCAGATGACTACTCGTGAGGTGCACTTGGCTAAGCTTGCAGGCACTTGCAGGGATGAGGTTTCTACTGGCATGGAGTTTTGTGAGGGGGTCTTGACGGGATCTGTGGTGCACATGAAGCTTTGGATGAGTTGATAGCCGACAAGCTGGCCACCTAAAAGCTATATTGTGAACCCCATCTTTGAAATATCTGGGGATGTTCTGCTGCTACTGTTGTGTCTGAGACATGAGTCAACAAGTCACTCTTGTCACGGAGACGTATCAAATTAGCTGTGAAACACACGGCTGTTGTATAACTGTTCAACCAAGACTCCCTGCAATGCGGGCTTCGTTCGTGCTAGGTAGGAGGGGAAAAAAGCTATATCTGTCCATGGCTTCCTCTTGTTTGATGCTCCCCCTGCGCCTGTCTCTATTGTCTCCATCTCTTGCTCTGTGCCTTTGTTGTCATTTCTCTCTGTCTGCGTCTGTCTCTCTCGCTCGTGCTATCGCTGCTACTGTACGACCGTCACTAAACGTGCTTGCCCACCTGTCAGAACTCTCTTGTTGTCATCTGGCTCCGAGGTGGGTTCACGGTGAGCAGGCGGCAGCAGATCGCCGATACGACCGGGAGGCGGCCAACGAGCTGCTCGGACTGGTCACTACTAGTAGCCCTCCGCGTCCACGTCGTAGTCACTTGAGTCACTCGATGATGTCATTATGTGCCGTGCGAGGCACAGCTGCCCTATGTCGTGCCACAAATAATGACACGAGCTCCAGACAGTACTGGTACTGATCATATACATGTATGCACGGTATGTATGCATGCATGTATGTGTGGCTACTGCCACTACTACGACGACGACTACTACTGCCACTGCCACTGCTACAGCGACTGCTGCTGCTATTGCTTCTGGCGCTGCTACTGCTACTGCCTACTGGTACGACTTTCACCACGACGACGACTACGACTACAACCACCGCCACCTTGCCTACCTCGCGATAGCAGTCGAAGGATGAGGCTGGCCATTATCAACAGCAATAAAGCAGGAACTTACTCATCGAGATCCGCATGCTTGAAGCAGGTGTGGATCGAACTCCAGTGCTCTCCTTTGTTCAGCCAGTCCCAAGCTAAGGACCAAGAAACTGCAGAGCCCTGTCTGATGAGACATTGCCTGAGTGTGTCGGATGTGGGGTGATCTTGAGCTTGAGGGTTTGGCTGTTTGCCGGATTGTTTACCGAGGATGCAAGCTACAAAGCCATGGAGTCCAAAAGTCGTCAGCCTGACAAGGCCCTCTGCGCATCCGCACCGTCTGACATCCGGAAGTTCCGAGCCCTCCATGCAAACTCGAGAATTGGACATTACACACCAAAGACACAAAGCAAGTCTGGTTTTTTCAGCGATGCCTGTGCCTTCGCGAGCATCACCTGTGCGGCCTGCAGAAGTAGCCCGGGCGTCATGCATGTGTTTCATGCACGTTCAACGAAAGAGAGACAGAGACGATCCTCTCGCTCAGTGCTTTCTTACACGGAGGGACTTGCCCCATGCAGAAACAAGGAACAAACAAAGGAGCAAACCTGTAACTGCTGCATCCTCAGCTGCCGCCCACCAAGGACACAGCTTCTTTGGGCCAAGACGGAGTGGCACCGTGCCGTCAGCGATCTCGCGCAGGTGCCTGGCAAGACTTCAAACTCTTGTGCGCTCGGACTTCCCGCAAGGAGCCCTAAGACCGAGCCCAGAGACTTGCAGAGACCCCAGGAACTCTGGAAGCCCTGCTCTTCAAGCTCGATTCAATCCTTGTGCGGTTCGAGATGTCGGCTTTATCGCTTATAACTTGTTTCATTGCGGGCTCGATGCCTTGGACAACATGCCCAAAAAAGTGAAGGCACTGGCAGCGCTGCTGTTGTCGGAAAAACTTTAGCACAGGCGCGGCGGAAGGCAATCGAGGCCGAGGAGAAAGAGCTGAATACAATGAAGGATGGGGTGTCGGGGCCTTGGTGCATTGGGGACTCAGGGTTGCAAGGACCCGCAAATGCTCGTAGATGTGTTCTCGCCGGTTTTTGCCGTACATGCATTCCAGCACAGGGTGTCGTGAGTCGCAGCCTGCTGCCGAAAGCTTGCAAGAGCTGGCCATGTAGCAGCAGGCAACAATATAGCAGTCTATTTCTCCGCCCCGGAGCTCCCACACTCTGTGGCGAAAACTTTTCTTGGCGGTGCGGCTTTGCCCAGGTCGTGGCAGGATGCCGCAGATGCTGGCGCTTTTTTCGTCAACAGCTGCGAGCCCAGAACATGTGGAACGACGCCGTACCGTAACAGGGATCCAGCCTCAAGCCATGTTGCTGTGCGACGTTCTCAGGCTTCTTTAGCCGTTCGGGTGCTCCCTCCGGCCAAGTTGTGAAGGCGCAGCGGCGGACCTGCAGGCGCGATGCAGTCAGGTCTTGTTTATGGCCGTCTGGCCAAACCGATGTCATGTTAATTGGCAGGTCAACATGTACCGATCGGACACACGCGCACGCATCTCTCTCTCTCTCTCTCTATCTCTCTCTCTCTCTCTCTCTCTCTTTCTCTCTCTGTCTGTTTCTCTTAAAATACATGGGTCTTTCTGTTCAAGGGTTAGCAGCATGATCCGAACCTATGGCTGGCTTACAGATGGCATGAGTTGGCGGTACACTATCTGCAAGGTGAATCGGCTTGGCCTTTGACGCGCACCCCGCAGGCACGCAGGCAGGGATGACCCTGCGAACGTTTTGAGAAACCGGTGTCGGAAGACCTGATGTTGGGCTGTGGCCATGCTCTTGTAGCCATGGCCATGCTTCCCCTCATTGCCTCAAGATTCCTGCTGCGAGGACATGTGACAGCTCGCCAAAGCGTGTGCCGCTGGCCACATTCATGGGAAACGGGATGCTGCCCAAAGGCCCAGGCTGCTAATAGAAACACGCCAAATTTTAAGTGCTGATTAAATCGACTATGGTTGGCTGGCTGCACCATGACACTGTCGTGGAGACTGAACCATTCGTTACTTTTGGGCCGGAGGAGTCGTGATTCCCATAGTCTCTGCAATCCTCCATGCAAGAAAGCTGGCGGTATGTCCCTGCCAGTTGTACAGAAGGGACCTTAGTGTCATGCTCATTAGGTGACTCTGTTTCACACGTACCGCGTAAAAGACTGGCGCCGGTTAAGCAGAGCACATCTAGCTTAAACCTCCACTTCCGCTTGTATGTGAATGTTACTTTACCACCTTTCGCTTTTGTAGTGGTTTCACTGCAATCATGGTTTTTCTTGTCGGTTACTGGTATTGTGCTTTTTTGTTGTCGTCATGATGAATGTTCGATGCCTATCTGAAGGTGTATGTTGGAAACTGTTGTGGAGACGGGCCAAACTTCTGCTCCCACATGTGTGCACTACGTTCGGAGTGTCTGGCATGTGTGAGATGCTGGGCTCCGCAGGCATTGACAGCATGTGACTTGAGCCGACGTCTTTCATTGCCAAAAAAGGCGCTCGCTGGCATACTTGATAGCTGGTGAATTTGCCAAGTAGGACGTGTCGACAGGTAGTCTTGAGCCATCCATTCTAAGCTGCCCCGCAGGGGCCTAGCTTTGAACGCTCTGCGCTGTCTCGATGCCATGAGCGTTCCAGACTACTACACTGTGCTGGGCCTGCAGCGTGATGCTCGACAGGTGCAGATAAAGAAGGCCAGCTCAGTTCATTGCCGAACTTCGAGCTCATGCCATCAGTGCTTCGATCTTGCAAGGTGATCCAGTGAATTCCGCAATGTGCACCAAGCGTCACCGCAGGATGCCAACCTTCTTTCATGACATGTCACGACTGCCTTCACAGGCCTACTTTGAGTTGGCCAAGCAGCATCTCCACTGCAGATAGATGTAGTCCAAGTCCAATCTCTTAAGCCGGGAAGCTGCGCAGTGGCAGTATGGGGAGTGTCAGACGGCTTCTCATCACATCACCTTGATGTTAGTTCGGTCCAATGCGCTGGGAGGCAAGCAGAAGCTTTCCCAATTACACAGCGGCCCAGTGCATGAGCCTCTCAGCCTCCCCTTGATCCTGATCGGACTTGACGCGTCGCGAATGTCTTCCTTTGAGGATGCATCCAGATCGGCACCACGGGACGGACGTGGAGTCAGCGCCCTAGGTGTAGAAACGTCGGTATCGAGCCTGCATCAAGATCTATGCACCAATGACTAAAGCCTCCGAGAAAAAGCCTGTTACATCAGTCTCTGGGCCAAGGGAAGGTGCCACCCGTGCGTTCGAGCATCTCCAAAAAGCCTACAGCGTATCTCGGACCATACGGTGCTCACGCAGAACATGCAGGTTTGGGCTTAAATTGTTGATCCATGCTTGACTGAGCACTAGGTTTTTCAGCGGGATGGGAGGCGAGGGGAGGCCAGAGTGAGAAAAAGGAGCTGTATGACTAATTGAATTCCTCCTGCAGCATCCTGGAATTCCTTCTGTTCTCCTCTGAAGCCAACCAGGTCCTGTCCAATCCGGAGAAGCGCCGCGCTTACGATGCAACGCTTGGGGACAATGGTGAGGGTGCAGCAGCGCAAGCATTTCGAGGCCTTGCAATCCTGTCTTTAGCAGTTCGCCTCCATCTGTCCGGTTGAAGCGCTGTCTTGGAGTATCCTGGGGTAGCACTCGTACAGATAGGGTGATGCACATGTAGATGTCTGCATAGAAATCTCAAGAGGTACGGATCCTTGAGTCACCCTCTGCAGGCTTCTGAAGGAGACTCGCAAGATTCACGAGCGACCTGATAGATGGACACCAAGATGCTGTACCTGTCTATTGAGTAGCTGTGCCGGTTTATCAACCCTGCCATGCGGGCTTTGTCCTTGCGAAGTAGGAAGCAAAAGGTCGGATCTGATCGGCCCGCCTGCAGTCCATATGCGTGCTTTGGGACGACGCGTCGTCCGACAGTCCGAATCTTGTTGGTCGCAGGTCAGGGGACGGGCCCCCTGGGTGGACCTTCGTGGCTGCACCGAGCAGAAGAGCGAAAGAGGCCCGAGAAAGTTTGGACCCGCAGAGAATTTGGTTGACAACCCGTGATACCTGTAGTAGGCCACATCCGGTAGGAGAAGGCTCAGGCTTGTGAAGTTCAGGCTTCTGGAGGCAGTCTGAATGTATATAGAGTCTCGTAGTCGCCGGTAGACCGGATTCAATCGGTGTCGTTCCTGACCTTCGTAGATTTGCGGAGCTCTTGCATCTTTAGCCTTCAACTCTTCGGGGGGGAACTGAGCACAACCATGTCAAATTTTCGTACATAGGTACGTCCAGAAAGACTCTGAGCTGTTAGCCTGTGCCGAACGTGTTCTTTCCAGCAAACCCCCTTCCTTAGTTAGTTGTTTCAGATCAGCTTGATCGTTTCGGCTCACCAACCCATGCATCCAGATAGACCCAGTCATGCTGAGGTCGCACGCACCAAATCATAAACCAAGCTGTGATGGCCCAGGCCATGGTATTCCCAGCTCACTTTCAGGACCCTGAAAAACAAAAGGTTTAACGCAGTTCAGAGCATTGGACCACTTTCGGGTCGAGCAGATGTTCAAGGGGCCGTCTTCTGTTTGGATTCCGGCAGCTGCAAGACAGTCTGAAGTCTTGGCTTTTGCTGCCGGGATCGACTGCTCCAGTTGTTTCATAGTGAGGCAAGTGCAAGGAACAGGCAGGCCACGACCCGTGACTCGCGGTTTCTTGTCGAGTGCGTTGTGGAAGGAGGTTGTGGTACCGGGTGTCCAAAACTGTGGGCGGCAGGCAAGACAAAGCATCGCTCTTTCAGGATTTTCTTGGGCGTATGTTCATTGAGGGCTGTTCAGAGGCTTAGGGCGTTTTCCGGGCATGAGGCATGGGGTGAGTTGAGGCCCGAGGAAGACAAGGTTGAAGGCTCCAATCCAGTTCGATGTAAGCATATTCTGGTCTAGCCGCAATTCGAAACGTTGTGCCGAATTCCACGGCCAAGGCTACCCCAAAGAGTTTTGATGTTTTGGACAAGGTTCGAAGTTGTCCATATCTGAACTTTGAGTGCATCTGGATGATCCGAAGAGCGAACGTCGAGAAAGCTGCAAGCGTAGAGTTCTGAAGCACCCGTGGGCATTACACAGCATGGCATAACACCCCATGGTTATGTGCAGCAGTACGAAAAAAGATCTGCCTCGTTTGCAAGGCCATCCTTCCTGGGCCCCGTTCTCTTCGTGGCGGGTGTTTTCACCGTCTTCCGCGGCATACCACTTGGTGTCATGCGCCTTGGTCCACTGGACAGGAAGCAACTGTCCGCTGTCTGAGCAAAATCGGAAGAGTCGGATCAGGCATCTTGTTGCTAGCACGTCTTGGCCGCCAGAGTGGCCATGAACATTCTAAGGTATATGCTGGACGACAAGGACAGAGTGGCAATGCTGAGCCCACCTCCCGTGAAGCGCCATTGAAATAAGCGCTGCAGGCTTTGAGCTTTTCAGGACATCATCTACAACCTGACAGCCAAATCCATGCGTGCTTCCTGTTGATGTCCAAGTCGTTGCAAGTTTGTTCGCATGGGGAGCTTGCCAGCGAAACGTAGTTGCTTTGTACATAGCAGGTGGAGGGGCTCGACGGCCCTGGGGCATAGCTGTGTCGACTCAGATCTTGGAATCGTAGTGATAGTTTTGGTGGATAAGCTCTGTTTGGTTCCTAGTGTCCTAATGCTCTGCAGCCTCTCCCTCTCGACAGCTCAAGGCTGCCAGGCCCAAAGGGCCGGAGGTTGATAGGTGATGATTTGAGCGCTTCAGATTTCACGTGGTGCAGCCATCTGCGAGGGGCCGTCATCAAAACGGCTCGACATTCGAGAATGTGATGCCTTGACATTCTCTGATCGAGAAGCTATTTGTTCAAACTCCAAGCTCTGCTGTTCAAAGACTCTCAAGGGCGAAATGAAAGGTTGTAGGCCGCGAGTCGAAATTCACATGCCCGGAAAACAAGCGTTACTACAACAAGAAAGGGCAATATTTGGAACCCGCTATGCACATTGCAGCATGGTTTTCACAGTCTTCGTGCCGCAATATCACCGAACTATCCCCGAATCAACCAAGATGTGTGGCTGTCAGGCAGCCGGGCACGGCTTGGAGCTTAGCTGGGAGGACTGCAGTATGACGAATGTCAGAGTGGCAGTGTGTGAGTGTGTGTACACACATATATCTCTATCTCTCCATCATGCTTAGATGACATCGACCCCATATGCACAACACTTACATGTATCCTAGGTTAGCCCCGTTAGGGCTTCAGTGAAGGCTCCAAGTCCAGCGCTTGTGCGACTGTTCAGGCATCATGTAACTAGATATCTGGAACTCAAAACTCTGTGTCGCAGAAGTGTGAGAGCTGCAACATCTCTGCAAATAAGACGCCAAGTTCAAGCTGGAAGCTTTCGAGCTCTCCTCCCGGCAGCCCGAACATCTGGGTTCGTGGCCCGCACTCCTGCGACCTTAATCCTTATAACCTTTCCCGGAAGCCCACTCCTGGCCGCGACTCGACTCCTAATGTTTGGAGGGTGGAGAGCAGGAGCTGAAGTTTGCTCTCAGCCATTTCTTCGAGGTGCAGGCCGGGCAGCGCCTTGCGTCTGAAGCGAGGCACTTGTTTGGCCAGCAAAGACCTGCGATAATTGCCAGTACACCACCTGACCCCCGCTTGCAAGGGAGACAGAAGGACTACTTGCTTTTCGTGTCCAAAAAATGCCTTCGAGCAGGGGCAGAGGTTCAAGTTCCCGGGGGCAGCAAGACATTTGTGAGGACCGGAAGTTTTCGCAAGCCACCGAATGCATGCCTCAATCTTTGCCTTCCACGAGTAAGGCTCCCAAGCTCTCTTTGCTCAGAAAGGAGAAATGTAGACGGACACAGGGGATCATGTGGAGAGACAAGTCTTGATTCCTCCCTTGCCCAAACAAGTGGCAGAGCTAGTACAGGAGCCTAGAACATGGAGCATGGGAGACATGGGGGATGACGTTGCGCAGCAGGAAGGGATACGAGCAGACGAGGCTGGTAGAGTTTCGACGAGTGGGAGACAAATGTGACGAATCGAAAATGGCGAGAGACAAAGGATCAGTTAATATGAACAAGAAAGGAAGAGCCTGGGGGAGAGGTAACATATGGCGGACCTCGGAACATTTCAGCACTGCACCCGCATTGGCAATCACATCGCCATACGGCACTGGTTGCGAAATAGCATTCGACGCCTCTGGATGCAACGGCAGAGAGAGACAGCGAGCGAGAGGGATGCTGTTGCAAGCTATCTTTATGGTCACAGTTTAGGAGGGATATTTTTTTGGGGCTGGGGCTTCGACAGGCTTATATGGGGGAACGCGGGCACATTGTCCTCTTGCAGTGATGGCGACGTTTCTACTTGTTCCCCTTTGACAGCAGTTTTAGAGCAGCGGTTTGTGTTTTCTAGCTAAGCTTGCGGTTTGTCGTGTTCAGCAATCGCTCCTGTTGTTGCTGTTGTATTTGTTGGATCAGATTTTTCCTTTCATGTGCTACTTTTTCCTACGGGGAAGGTTTTTCGCTGGCTCAGGAAGATGAGTGGATCGACGCTCTGCATGTCCGGATGCCCTGACTGCTTGTTGATCTGAGCAGTCTGAGCAGAGGTCACTCGCTTTGGTTGCAGGCTTGCAGCCAAGTTCCTGTGTCGTTGAGGCGCAGAACGGGGAGTCCCTGATGCAGATGCAGCCGGCTTCCCAGAAATGGCTCCTGATTGCAGCGCCGGGTCTAGCTAAACAGCTCCAACACTTTGCGATCACTTGGAGCGTGCCAAAGCGAAGACATTCATTGTTCAGCGTGCATGCGGACAAGAGAATCTAACGTTGCTGAGAATTGGAGGTACACGTGCATCTACTTCAAGGCCACGCGGAACACGACCCCTGCCACCGGCATCGGCAAGCCGGCCTCTCAGTAAAGCACAGAAGCCATCCTCGCCTGTGGACTTAGATTCCAGCCATGCGAGAGGGAAAAAGTAAAGCACTGACAGTGGTTCCCTCAGTTCACACTCAGACTTGCCTGGCTGACCCGATGAAAAACTGTGACAAGGTGAGCCAGGCCAGACACGTTGCCTGAATGGCACTCATGGTCTCACCTGCAAGCAAGGTAGCAGTAGACAAGCTCAAGCGCAGAGTCTGGGTCTTCAAGGGCTGCCTTCCGAAATCCCAGCGAGATGCGGCTCTAGAGTGGCTCAGGTTCTTGGAGTTTGTTCCTCGATGTACATTAGCTTTTGCTGGGTTCGGGTTGGGTAAGTTTTCAGCATCAGCAGCAAGTCATGGCAGTTCATGTTGGTATCTCACCGGCGATGGAAAAGCTGCGCTCTTGTCTCGCGATTCGCTCCTCTTGCGACGAAGCATTGATGGCTGTCAGATGGTGTAGTCATCTGTTTTCGAGCCAGTAGCACTTGTTTGCAGCTTCTTTCAGGGAGGTTTTCCCGGATCCAAGGGTGCAGCCACCAGAGAGGCGAGACAAGCAAAGCTTGGCATCATATTTGCTACACATCACGCAGGCCAACCCACCGCACGCGTGGTCCAAGACAGGGTGTCGAGCACGAGCATTAGGGCACATCACATGTGCAAACAAGCAGCGCGAGCACCGGCCAAGCCCCTGTACTTCGTGTCTCTAGCTTTTGTTTGCCCTGCTCTCAAGTAGTTTCGCAAAGCTTTCATCATGCGGGCAGGCTCGATCAAGAGGTCGCAGCATTGGGTTTTTTTTCATGTGCTGCCCAGTTCATATTCAGTGTTGTCTTTTGACATTTGTTTTCACGCATATGTAGCAAATATCCTGCGATCTCAATGAAAAATGGTAGCATATACATAAATGCTCAAACTTACACAGTACCCAAGCGAACTCCCTGGGCGTGGGGTTTGCAAAGAATCCCGCCTGCTGCGAAAGGATCCAGATTTGCTTTCCCCCAAACCCGCAGCCTAAATCCTTGGTGTTCGGCCCTGAGTTTTATGGAAGGGTGCAACATGAAGCATGGGCCATGTTAATCCGCTGAGAACTTGCAGAGTGCATGGGCCATGGGCGGGTCAAAGTGAAATACTTGCCGATATGTATGCAAAATGGCTTGGGGGTGTAAATCTGCCATCATGAGATCGCCTTGATGAAGAGAGGATCAAGGCCATGGGCTTCAGGGCTTTTAGTGTGATGCTGTAGCTGTATAGGGCCTCTATACACCAAGTGTTGTATATTACCTGTACAGAGCCCACACAGGCCGTGGAAGAAAACACGGATTTCCCAAGGCTGTAGCACATAGGGTCTGTATAAGCCAACTAATGCAAGCTGATATGTGTTGAGTGTTGACTGTAAAACCTGGGCCACATAAGAAAATAACGCTCCAAATAACAGTGTGGTTTTCGATCGGGTTACGTCCGAGCGACCTTGTTTCTTCGAGTCTTTGGCTTCTCCAGGTAAGCTCCTGCGCCCTCGCATGGTAGTTGGCATTCTCCTCTGCCGAGGCCCAATACCGGGCTGGAAGAACTCAATGAACGAAGCCCGAGGATTTTCCAGGTACTCGTAGGGTTAGTGTTGGCGTGCTTGCAAAGAGGGGACTCCTTCGGCATCCCTGAAGGAGAGCTCCATAGCTCCAAACCTCAATCCATCACGACAACCCCACAAGACTTCACATCCTGCGTGCAAGGCCGCACTATGGCCCCGGAACTTCGACCGAAGGCGACTTTCCCCTTTTTGTTTGTCTCGTCGCTTTCCGCGAGCCCTCAGGCATCCAGATGATGAAATCAGCGGGGAAATGGCATTGCTTTCCTGCTGTCTGCTATGATCCTCGCCTTCAAAGCCCTGCCCGGGTGGGTGAGTGTTGGGGCTGAGGGTTCTGTGAGCCTCTAGGTTTAGGGCGCGAGTCGGACTTGTTCTCGTTCTGAAGTCGATTACATCTAGATGGGGGTGCTATTGAAGCCACTCCTCGCCGAGGCCTCGACACCGCTGTGGGCTTCTGAAATCAAAAGAATCCTTGCTGCTGCAATCTGTTGCACCATGAGCAGCCCAATCATGGCTGTACTTGCGGAGTTTTCTGAAGTGACGAGCCAAGCCTTTGAAGCAGATCATTTCTGCATGTTTAGCTGGTTCAATTGCCAGCCGAAGCATTTGCAAGCCTCATCCACTTTCTCGCGAGATTCCAATTTACATTGGCGAGAGTGCTTCATACCAGTGCAATTCCGTGTGACACACAAGATTGTCAGCGTTCACATCTTCGAGTTCCGTTCCCGCCAGAGACGCTGGCAATGGCGTGGGCTGCCCATTGGATATGCCCAGGGCTGCTTGACGTTAAACAGTCGGCCAAAGAACAAGGCTTGAGTCTGAATGCTTCAGGCATATCATTTGCTGGAAACAAGCATAAATGGATATCACCAACGTTCGTAAGCCCTGTTGATGCTGACGGTCTTGGAGTTCTTGCGCTCCTCAACGGCCAGCC